CGCCCCAATAACTTTCCCCGCTTCCCCCTGGAGTTGATTTCCGTAAAATCCATTCTTAGTGGAACTCTATTCAACTAAAGAAAATTGCTCAACAAATTTCAAGTAAGTGAGTTAAATTCAAAAACAGGAATTTTTCTATAACATGCCTTAATCCCTCGCAAACCCACTCCTTTGGGGGTCCGTTTTCGCAAAAATCTTTGTAAAAGGAACTTTATTCCATGAACGGAACATACCTTCTAATTTTCAAGCAGGTGGTTCTATTAGTTGAAACGCGGAAATATTTATCTATTATACGCCTCTTAATCCCCCTCAGTGACCCTTGGGGATCAATTTTCTCCAAAACTATTTGGTAGCGGATCTCTACACCATGAAAGGAATTAGCTTACCAAATTTTAAGACTGTACGTTTAAAAGTTTAAAAATGGAAATAATTATCTATAACGCCCCTTAAGTCCCCGCAACGCCACTTAGGAAACGATTTACACAAAACTCATCTTATGACAGATCACTACTCAGTGAATGGAATCTGCTAACTCAATTTCAAGATTTTACGTCTAATAGTTTTAAAAAGGAGTTAATTGCTTATAACACCCCTTAATTCTCCACAACGCCACTTGGGATCGATTTTCACAAAACCCATTCTTTAGGGGATCTGTACTTTATGAAAGGGATCCGCTTATCAAATTTCAAGACTGTACGTCTAATAGTTTAAAAATAGAAATAATTATGTATAACGCCTCTTAAGCCCCCGCAACGCCACTTAGGAAACGATTTTCGCAAAGCCCATCTTATGACAGATCTCTACTCAGTGAATGGAATCTGCGTACTCAATTTCAAGATTTTACGTCTAATAGTTTAAAAAAGGAGTTAATTGCCTATATAACGCCCCTTAATTCTCCACAACGCCACTTGGGATCGATTTTCACAAAACCCATTTTGCAGCGGATCTGTACTCTATAAAAGGAATCCGCTTACCAAATTTCAAGACTGTACGTCTAATAGTTTAAAAATGGAAATAATTATGTATAACGCCCCTTAAGCCCTCGCAACGCCACTTAGGAAACGATTTTCATAAAACCCATCTTATAGCGGATCTCTACTCAATGAATGGAATCAGCTTACGAAATTTCGAGATTTTACGTCTAATAGTTTAAAAAAGGAGTTAATTGCCTATTACGCCACTTAATTCTCTACAACGCCACTTGGGAGTCGATTTTCACAAAACCTATTCTGTAGGGGATCTGTACTCTATGAAAGGAATCCGCTGACCAAATTTCAAGACTGTACGTCTAATAGTTTAAAAATGGAAATAATTATGTATAACGCCCCTTAAGCACCCTCAACGCCCCTTGAGGTCGATTTTGTAAAAATCATTATGTAGGGAATCTCTACTTTATGAAAGAAATCTGTGTACCAAGTTTCACGACTTTACATCTAATAGTTTAGTAAAGGAAATAATTATCTATAACGCCCCTTAAACCCTCGTAACGCCCCTTGGGGTTCGAACTTTGCAAAATCCTTTCTTAGCTGACGTCTACACCATGAAGGGAACCTACCTGCTAAATTTCAAGTTTGTAGGTTTAATAGTTCTGTGGAGATATCGTGATTAGTCAGTCAGTGAGTGAGTGAGTCGCTTTTCTCCTTTATATATATAGATTAGAGACATAAATTTAAAATTCTTTAAAATCAATTATATAATTATATTAGTTTATTGCTGACTTTAATGTGTAGTGAAACTTATTAAGTTATTCACAGTTCAGTGAATTGAATTTTAGACTAGAACTTATTGTATTCTTGTATAATCGATTCTATAATTATTTCACAAACAGGAAGTCTTTATCATTAGTAAAAAGGTTTTGCTGTTCTTATTCTCACACTGTCGATATTAATCAGCATTCATTCAGAGTTTAAGTTAAATGATGGCGAATCTATACTAATGACTTACTACATTCTTTTTTGACCCAGATAGATAACAATTCTGCTACGAGGCTATTAAGAAGCATTCGCTGATATCTCTTAAATTCTAATTTAATACATTTTTATTATTTTTAATTAATATGATTACAGTACACAATGAGCAGAACATTCCTCAGTTCATCTGCTATGTTTCTCATGATCTAGTGTGCCAGTGTCTTTCATAACAAGCAAATAGGAACCATTCGTACATCTTGCATTTTTTTTCTTGTTTATTAATTATGTAGCTTCTGTACAAGATCTGGCAGATATCATCCATCCTTGTAATCGGAAGAAGGGGTCAGTCATGCTGCTGTTTCCAAACAGAAGCTCGATCTGATGTGTGCTAGTGTTATACTTCAGGGCACGACGTTTTGCTGACAAGCCATAAATCTTTACCTACGTGCGTCTTGGTGTTGTCATCATGAGCAGAGGAAGACATACCTCCATCCTTCATCAAAAAAGTGCCACTCGTGTATCTTTCTGAATTGCCCATAATGACAGAGCGCAAAACAAATGGGAAGATGCCCACTCCCCCAGATGGGCTGCCTTCAAGGTCATTCTTGCATTTGTTTTACCAAACCAATAAAAAAACACACTTTAATTAAAGATATTTTCCTTGAGATAAAAGCATCCATTTGTTTTCAGTTGAGACAGGTTTTTCGTCACCAGATGAATCACCCCTTCTTAATAAGGGGGGGGGGATGGAAAATGGCATTATGGAAATAATCCGAAACGTTCTGTGGAAATAACTGGGGAATGTTTCGTTCTCTGAAGTCGCCATTTAAATTGAGTGCTTTCAAGCTTGCTTTCATGTTGGGAAAAAAAGGGGGGGGATCGCGAAATGCATCGGAATTGCCTTGTAAGACGTTTATGACACCGACTGTGAGATAAGACGTTAATTGAAAGGGCCGTAAAAATTTCTTCTTTTGCTTAAGTATCAGCTAACTTTCGCTTTATTTTGCTGAGGTATATACCTTTATCAGACTTTGTTTCTCTTGATATAATGAATTTTGATAAGATCTTGATGTTTTTTCATTGTTTTAAAATAAACAAAATAAGGAAAAATGATCCACTCTCACCATGTTAAATTTGGGAGATTTCTAATGAAGCCCTTGGGTATAAGTTCCTATTTCCCCGACACTTTTATATTTGACAGAAGATAATATTTGAAACAATTTTAGATAGTAGACTAAAGTACTATGATTATTTGCAGATTTAATACATATTGAAGTGTATAGTTTCACATTGTGTGTGTGTGTGTGTCAAATATATAAACATCTAAAGAATTAAATGGTCTGGCAATGTTATTAGAATGAAACAAAGAACGTTCAACACAGAAAATCTTTTTGGCCAAGCTTACTAGAACAAGAACTAGGGGTCGACTCAATCTCAGGTGGGTTAATTACCTAGAAAGGGATTTCGCTACTCTAATTGGAAGACCATGGCCAAAAAAAGAGATATGTAGAGGAAAATTCTTGAAGGAGGCTGTCGCGCTATTGAAGAAAATAAATTTCTCATTGATTTGTAAAATCATTCATTGCATTATACTCTCGATTTTAAAAATGATTTTTAAAAGCTATTAATCATTATTTGGAACTACAGTTTACGTCAGCAGTTGCCGATCTTTAGAACTTCATGGACCATTATGTGTATGACTTTACAATGAGGTACACAAGGGAACAACCCCCTATTGCTGAACAGATTTTTAATTTTTACCATAGAGATTACCCCTCAGAGCTTTCATCTACATCAGAGGTTCCCAAACTTGTTTGTCTCATAGACCCTTTGCCATGGTTTTCGATTTCGGGTAGACCCCTGCTTACCTAATACTGAAGTTTTGCAAATTTACCAACTTGTAAGTCTTTTTGACACAGCTAGTCCTACTACTTACATTAAAAGAATTAAATATCTAACTGTAGTGAGGTATAGCGTTTAAAATTCAAGAAGCATGTGTTATAATGAATTAAATTAATACATAAAATAATGAACAGCAAACAAATGCTTTTAATGAGAGGGATGAATCTGTTACTTCGATAAAAAATGTTCAATATCAATCTAGAGAGGTTTAACCCTTTAGTTTTTGTCCAGTTTTCTTTCCTTTTCTTTCTTTTGAGATTGGCAAACTCACTGGAACTCCCTCTCACTAGGAAAAGCAAGTAAAAACTTTTCACGATGTTCCATAATTCGGGACAAATAACAGGTAATTCTTTTTAAAGCCAAAAGTGAGATGTTTCTAAACTTTATTTTAAGATCATCGTTAGGGCCTATTTTGATCAATTCCTATTGTAATAAGACTTTTTTTTTTCAATTTGACTGCATGAATTCAATGTCTATTGTGATATTACCATAGTCAAAGCATTCTCAAACGTAGTTTCAAAATCTGAATAAAGGGCATTTAAATGTTGAACGTAGGTTAGAATGCCCGGACAAATTGAAAAAATTCGTGATATTCCGATGTACTTCTTTAGATTAATTCTGGAAAGAGAAATGCCGAAATGGCCCTTGTCTTAGTAAAATTTATGCTGTCACCTAGTGACCACAAATTAACCTCGCCAAATTTAGTAAATAAATCAGTTAAATTAGTAAAATCTGGTTTCCACAAGATTACATTTTTTTAAAGATTAAAGTCACAATCGGATTTAATGAGAGTCCCTATCATAGACCCCCATTTGCACCTCATGGACCCCCAAATTATTTTTTCACTGCCGTGGACCCCTTGCAGGTTGTCATAGACCCCTGGGGGCCTTTATAGACCACTTTGGGAATCACTGATCTACATGTTTTTCAATTCCTACTATTAGTTCACACTCTCTCTCTCTATATATATATCTTGTTCAAATTTTCAATCGTTAATAAAATACTTTTTATTCATTAACTCAAGTTCAAATACATGTAAGTAACCTGTATTAAACGTAGTGGAGGACACTTGATGTTAATCAGTTTTATCAAATATCAATTTGTTAATTCTATTTAATTAATGAATAAATAGTAGCAAACAAAAATAATAGTCCAACATCATATATAAAAAGGAAAATCGCTTGTGGTGTCCCTGTAGCGCAATGGATAGCGCGTTGGACTTCTAATCCAAAGATCGTGGTCGAATTCCACCTGGAATGGCCTAATTACTGAGAATGTGATTTCTTTATACTATACTATTTTATTGGAATAATTAAATTTAATGAATGAATAAATAGTAAAATGGAAAATTGCGAGGAAAATAGCTTTCTATTTTGTCACTTAATATTATGATTCTGTCATATGTATATACATATTTATATTAATTGTAATTATTTAATAAAATTAACTCAATTAAAACTTTTCTTTGTTGACTTAAGTAGGAATTGACTTAATGTTTATATATATATTACTTGTTTTTTATATTTAGTGTCAGTTATATTAGAATATACATATAAAATTGTTTTAAGAATATTATTGCAAGAAAAAAATTGTTTAAATGCAATTTGGCAAAAAATGATGAAGACATATTTCATCAATATTTATCTAAGACTTCAGTACAGAGCCTGAACTAGGATTTTAGTACTAGGCTAATATTTTATTAAGTGGTTAAATAGGTACTTGGCGTCAGTCAGGCCTCTAGCCTCCTAGAACCCTGGGTCTCCCGCAATGCTGGGGTTGCTTAGTGTACGTTACGCCACTGTAAACCCGCTTCCATAAGAGAAGTCTGTGTACGCCACAGTAATTTTATATTATATGAATGTATAATGTGAATGCTATATAATATGAATTTTTAAAAAATATTTATACATTTATACAAAAACAATCAGAAAGCTTTTATTTTGTTAATGTAAAATGCACCCATTAAAAGTAACAAAGTTATATAGAGTAATTATTTTTAAAATATGAGCACATATTTTAAATCTTATTACACACTTTTTGCGAAATATTTGTTTGTCTTGAAATCTGTTTGTGGATTTTTGGTACTTATAATATCGCTCCAAGACGGAGAACCGTGTTTATTCCAAGCCGAACCTGGTAGCGAGTTTTAATTGTTGTTAGATTAAATTGTTTTTTCACACAAATATGTTGTTGAAAATTAACTTAAAATGTTCATTGTTTTTTCACTCTGTAATGGGTATTTATAACAAGAACACAAACCGGCAACACAAAGTAATATCAACGAATTGAAGTATCATGCAGCCAACTTACCACGGTTGCCGACTCTCACTTTCAAATGCTGCTAGATATGCTTGTTACAGTTGCTAAAAAGCCGCTAAGTTCAGAAGAAATTTTGCTTAAAGTAGTAACTAATTTTTTTAAGTATAATCCATATTCCATTATACGTTTCGTTACTTGTCATTTTTTTAAATTAAATCTTGATAAAAAAAAATATATATAAGTGTCCTATTTTTTCTGCGGACCATCAAACACTTCGCGGATCACCGGTTGGCGACCACTGATGTAAGTGACAACTGATGATTGTCTGTTCCTCTTGAATTGTTCTCTATTTTAATTTAATCGTCAAGCCCCCTTCTTTTTTTCGAATTCATAGTCGACAGTTTTTTTCTCCTAGTTTTTCTATTCTTAGTTGGAATGTTTTTCTCTGTAGCGTTCTTTTGATTTGACTTCCTTTTAAACAAAATTATCGTTCCGTAATTGAAGATATATTTTAAAAGGCAACTTTATTTCCTTTCGGATCGCTCTTACTTTTTAAATTTGATATATATGATATCGCATAACCGTTATAATTGCATGGAATATATGCTATTAATTGTTTGATTTCATTACTTTTCTGGATATGCACATTCAGTAATTTGTAATTATCAGCTTTTTCTAGATGTTTCCTGGAAGAAGAGAAAATTTTTTTCTTTTATTTATTTGTATTGGGTCGCATGTATTTTTCTATGTGTTCGATACAGTTTGGTGTTTCATTCGGATTTTTTTCACAACTGAAAAATATTAGTACAGAAGTTAATTTATATCTACACTGTTCTATACAATTAAGCAGTATCTGCATAAAGCATGGTTGTGCTTGAAATAATCTTTTATTGATTTAATTTTGATAGGAAAATTTCCTTTGTGTTAAATTGATGGTTCTCAAACAACCTAGCACTTATTTCGTTACACTAACTTGCTTTTTCAATTGCATCTCAATGCTTTGAACTAAACCCCATTGATCTATTAAATTTTATCTTATCATTTAAGCAGAAGCTAATGCATCTCTTGTATTGATACGTATAGTTTCTAATACTAGGAATAGTACTTTTGACTTTTGCTACCAGTTAGCTGTAGCCAAACTCAATTTATCTTCGTGATTAGATTAGTTTTGTAGGGGCAAGTTCACACACAATCACTGTCGTTGAATCTTCAATGGCTGTTTCGTACCTATCAAGGTAATAAATTTTCGCCTATCTTCGGTTTATTACCTGAAAGTAGAGCTTATAAAACCTCCTGCTATTCATGCAACGACATAGATGGAATTTATGGGTTTAGGGTTTGTACCAACCTATAGTAGTCCTAACACATCGCCACAGGCTATATGTTCCTTTTTGTGTGAGAATTCGTTTTTATCACAGTAGCATTTCTATTCCATTCACTGACTGCGCGGCATACAATGTCCCACTTTTTATTGTTATTGTATTTGTTTTGTATTGTATTGTATTGTATTGTATTGTATTGTATTGTATTGTATTGTTATTGTATTGTATTTGTGCATTCGATTCATTGAAACCCAGAAAAGCTTTAGTTTTACAAATATTGCCATATTGCTTTAGTTGAGAACTTAAGGTATCCGATTACTTGCAGCAACTTTTTTTTAAAAAATGGAGGTATGGGGATTTTTTTGTAGTTTTTAGATTTATTTAGTCCATTTTAAGAAAAGTATGCTAAAATTGTGAAGATGAAAAGAAATTATTATTACTAAAATAGGAAAAAATTGGTACAAATTGACAAAAAATTACATAAACGGGGCCCATTCTATACAAAAAGTTTGTGAACAAATTTTCAATTTTGATGCGCTGCTTTGCTATTCAGTTTTAAAATTATCTTCAGGATAAGAAATATTTTAATTTTTACAAAAACTAGAGCACTTTATCTTAGTTATTATATGAATTTTTTTTAAAAAAAAATCAGTGATTATATTCACATAAGGGACTGTAAATTTTATAATAAAACAGTGATAAATAAATCTTAAAGATAAAACACTTCTACTGCTATGCAGAACATACAAAAAAAATTTCAGTTTATTATTTTCTAAATTTAAATTTTTTGAGCAATTGCTGTCCCCGTTTGAACATTGCCAAAAAAACACATTTCGAGTAAAATGCATTTTAAAGTACGACATCTTGCTTAAAGTAGTGACATCTGCTTTTACTTAAACACTTGTAGTTCTTGTTCCAGTGAATGAAAAATAATAAACTTGGTTTTTTTTTATTATTAAGCGGATAAGATGGTCTATAAAATAAAATCATACAAAAATTTGTTAATGTTTGGCAAAATTCATGATTTTAGGGTTGTCGGATATCTTAAGGGCTTTCAATTATTTTCCTCTGTTGTAGATGTGTGGTAAATATTAATGTCAAAACTGTTGAAGTTAAGAACAATGCGTAAATGCTGTGGCTATATAGCTATGATAAATATTCTTAGTCAAATCGTTGAAAGTTATCTTTGAAAAAAATGTGAGTGTATATAACTTTTATAAATGTTAGTTTTGGGAGCAAAATTACTGGCAATGCGTAGAATGTGTTTTTTGAATACAGACTTACTGTTAATTTAATATTATCGCTGAATAGTTTGTTTTGTTTTTATGCTGAGTTTGAATTTTTTACTTTTTTAAATACAGAAGTGCACGCCTTAAAAATGTAATTTATGTATCTTTGGTATTTTGTATTTTAATTTATCAAATTACCAAAAAAGAGAATTTACTGTATCACTGTACATCTTTTAAAATGGGAAAAAAAAGAGCAAAAAGTAAGATATTGCGACAATATTTCCAAAAATTTATCGCTTTATGAATATAACTTCCTTTTAAAATAATTTTCCTATGTGGTAATCCCTTATTATCGCAGTTAATTTGTTTTACAGAAATTTTACGTTATACGAGGCGTACCTAACAAAAAAAAGTTAGATTCTGATACCTTTTATAACTGCAAAAAAATTAAATATTACAAAATTCATGAAAATTAGATAATTCATGTAACTTTAAAAACCTTAACAATTATGAATATTTAGCAATGGCCAAGGTGTTTATTACTTTGTCGTCATTTGTAATGCTGTCCGGGCGTTTTCTATTTATTTAATTGTCGAGAAGTCAATAAAAAGACTTTTCCTATTGTAATATTTTGTTGTGCTCATTTTTTACTAGTAAAATACCTGTTTCTAGTGGATAGGCATCGAAAGCCTTTCACATAGACTTAAAAATTAGGGACGACAAAATTGACGGTATCTTGCAAAGTAGAAGTCACCTGTGTAAGCACAAATACCTTATCCAATGATTTTTTGTCATATATAACAAACATGATAGACTAACTAACATAGCATCAATGAGCAAATTTTTGTATACATGTTTTTTGTATTTGAAAGTTATACAGGGGTGCACAAAAATATCTGTACGAAATATACTCGATCCCCAGGAACAGGACAGGTCGTATACGTACGGATTTAAGATATCCAGTTGCCAATTACTCTGCTGACCCCTCCCCCTTACCAAGTTCTTTCACATTCATTGCAATCAGAATGTGCTAAAAGGTATTCTTCTTTGCATAAACTCGTTAAAAAAACTTGTAAAGCGCATTGCGTAATTACTGCATTAAAACAGATAATATACATTTATATATATATATAATTTTTATTCGGTGAATGTATCGAATGAGCATAAAATCGATTGTATTCTAAGAATTTCTTTCTTTTCAAATAGTTATTCAAGATATATCTTGTGTCTTTGTAACTTTTCATAAAGTAATTATATTTTGCTAGCAATTTCATGTAATTTGTTTCATTACAGGTCCATTTGTACTTCAGTGGTATACCTGAAGCCAAAGTGCCTTATGTGAACAGCGTTGGTGAGAAGTATCGCATCAAACAACTTCTACACCAACTGCCGCCCCACGACAATGAGGTTCGCTACTGCAACGCCCTGCACGAAGACGAGAAGAAAGAA